TTTCGGTCAACGATACCAAACATGACTGCATTGAATGGACGGCCTCTTCCTCGGTATAGCAAATGTTTGAATTGTAATCATTAGTGTCGACCAAAAGTACGATTTTGGAGCCGACAAGAGCTGTGAGAGCAGAACTCATGTCTGACAATAAGCAGCGGTAGGCTTCCTCCAGAATAGTCACACTTTTGATGGATAGGATTGAGTGATGTAATGAAAATAATCTCTTCTGTACCTTATCTGATGGAATGGATCGCAATTTGTGTGCATAAGAGCCTGAAGTGAAAACTTTGGTCACAAATCCAGTGTCCAATTCAACATTCAATGCCTTAACAACGGTTTGCATTAACTCCAGAGAACTAATGATGTATTCATTGCTCGCGTACTCAAACGATTCCGGAGTTTTGTCCAAATATTGAAGTAATTGCGGTCTAATTGTAGACATCAATTGCTTGGATTGAGGGGACAGGGGATCCACTGATTGAAGCGTGAGTCGTGTGCAGTGATTGGTTGCAATCACCAAATCCTCCGAGTGTTTGATAACGATAACAGAATTGACACAATTGATGACTGTTTTGAGGGCTTCGCTCAGGAAATCCCATGTTATGGTTGGCGTTGAGTCTTGAGATTTAAACTTATCTAAACTCTTGAGAACCGTTATATAGATCTTCACCAAAGAGGCCATCTTTAAAATCTTGGCGTCCGACGAAAGAATCTCGTTGTTTGAGCGCCTGTTTTGACTCGTCTGTTGATTCTTGGGCTGAATTAAGTCGAGTTTATTTTCGTCAATCAACTCTTGATAGAAGCGCTCAAAGTCTTCGATAAATTGTCCCAAAAGAGTGACCGAAAATTCAATGTCAAAGTGCCAAAAGTCTTTGAGAGAAATCAATGCGCTCTCCAATGGTTTGGTCATCACTTGATTGTGACATTGGGTCGAATCCAAGAGCCAACCGATCAGTATATCGACCACATCTCGGAAATGTTGTTGCAATAGATTTGGATAGTGTTTCGCAGCCATTAATACCACTTCAGTGACGGTCAGCAGGAGTTCAATATTCTCGGCCTCTTCTAAGGCGTCCTTCAGTTTGTTGAGAAGTGAACTCATGTTTTCGTTCATACCTTTGCCTCTGTTTTCAATCATTTTCAACAAACTCTTCAGCAAAACAATTCTCGTCTCGTCACTGATGGACGAGTTGTACAAATCAAACATCCAATTGAATAGCTCTCGCAAGTGATGGGTTAGACACGTACTGAACGCAGCCATACATTCAATCACTTCTTTGATGATATCTGAGAATAATTTGGTGGTCAGTATTCTAGTCAGAAGTCGTGTCACGTCATCGATAACTCTATACAACAAATAAATGCATTTTAAAACGAGAGGCCAATGGAGGGCCCGATCGGGGGATCCGAGCGATGCGTTCATACCGTCCGGGCTTTTCGATGACCGCTCGCGGGAACGAATTCGTGAGAAACAGTTGTGACAAATCCTGCAAATACTTTGGCCACAAACGCTTCTCTCCCGTCTCGAACTGTCGGATCCCATTCCTCAGCAGCCGTAGGTCCGACTGGACGGACGACGCGCTCTGCTTCTGGAGCGGTACGCCCTCTAAGCCGTTGTTTTGGCGGCCATTAAACGAGTTGTGATCGTTGTTTCGCCGTTGCGTTGACCCAAACGTACGGGAAGTGTAGGCCGAGGAGTGGTTCGTCCGTCCGTTGACCACCACTTGCGGCGCCAAACCGTCGGTCGTGTCGACGGCACACGATTTGCCGCTCTTCTGATCGTCGCCTCTGATCTTCATGTAAGACATTCTCGTCTCTGTTCTTCGGACCGAACCATCGGTTATGTCGTGTGTCTTATATGTCTATTATCTACGGGTTTAACAAAACAAAGTCAATATACAGTCGACGAGACAATCGATGGATGGCTTCCGCCAAACGGCAGACCTTTTCGTCACATTTTCATCGCTTCCAACGTATCGATGGTTTTGATAGAGAAATATAAACACAAACAACAAAACTATATAATAGTCTACGAAATGAGTGGTAAATACGGATTGAATGGTCGCAAGGATTCAGTGTCTATAATAAGTATAATAATCGCAAAACTGATCACACAATCAGTGGTGAAGCGAATCGAGTGTTCAATTCATTCATTCAATTGTTTTCGCATTTCATTCGTTACTAAAATGAGTAATGAATTAATGTTTTGTTGGTTTCAATCAGTCATTCAATTATGTGTTGCTTTTTATGCCATATTTTTAGTCAACACTTCATTCAATACATTCAATACATAGCGTATGTATTGACTACTGCTGTGAACACAAGGGTATTGCGAATCACATGCAGAGCGCCACCTCTTGGCTCGCCTTCACGTCTCGATCGTACAGTTTGTCTATTATTCAAAGTGATGGCAAGTATGGGCTCATACTGTGTAAGGGATACTGATAATAGGCATACCTGTGCCCATACCTGTGCCCATACATTCTTACGTGTATTTGATTAGAAAAAACTTTAATACAATTGTTATAAATTTATTATGTTTTTCTCACTTTGTATTCATATGTTTTTTAGTTTACGTAATGATTAATGATTACGTAAAACGTTATACTGTATAGCATTGAATGCCTGTAGAGTGAACTTACAGTGAATGAAGTTGACCATTGAATGAGATACCTTGGTCAATTGTGATCTCTATATAACTTTGAAATTAGTTATTTTTGATGACATTTAAAAGCAATTGAATATGAATTTGGAAATTAATTTTGTAGCGAATGAACAAATATATAAATAGAGATAATAATTGTTGGACTCATAGATAAAGCACTGGAAATACTTTGTTGGATACCAGGAATCGTTCCCAGGAGTCGTTATCTCAGTATTCATATAAATTGAGTAAAATTTGTTGATTTGAATTAAAAATATTGCTTATTAGTGAAAATTATGCCGATTATGATTTTCACGTTTAAGCAAGTTATAAATATATAATTTATATTTAATTAATTTATCATTAAATTGATATATGAGGCCACATGGACATCCCGGTGGTTTTCACGTGTTTGAATAAAATAATGATAATTTTTCATCGGTTTATTACAAATTTTATTAAAGTTTTTAACGTTTAAATAAATATATAATTTTTAAGGTTTTAATTCATTGAAAAATTAAATTTTAATATAAGTTATTATATATTGGTTTTGATTGATATAAATAATAATCAAAAATATTACAAAATTAGAAAAATTAATGTTCTTTAGGATAATGTTATACATAAAAGAATGATTAAATTGAAAAAGACAGTAAACATTGTAAACTGAATATTGATATTTCAAATATTCACTACAATTCTTGAAATTGATTGCCCCCTCGTCTCGGATTGGTTTCGTTTTGATTGTTATAATATTTATAAATTTTATGATTAAAACTATTGGAAAAATATAATAACTTATATTTTGTTTATATAAATACATATAAATTAAGATATAAAATACATATAATGGACACAAAATAATGGACAAACTATGGATACAAATTAGACAAAATATAAAGTGTGACAAATAGTGACTTTCAGTAATTAAAGTAGAATTCAATGTATTCACTAAATTTTGATGACATTATATTGAAAATTAACATTAATTTGTGGACAATAGTGGGAAATGAAATTAATTAAACTAGATTTAAAGTAAAAGGTTTACACTAATAAACAACACATTTATAATAAAAAAAAATTAATTGCAGTAAAGACTAGGGATTTAATATCAAATAAATATTCAAATAATGAAGTTTTGATATTAAATACAAACAATTTAAAACTAAATCATATTTTACAAAATTGTTAAACCATTAACTTATTTAATATCCATTCATTTAGAAATTTAGTTTAAATGTTCAAAAACTCATGAATAGTAATAGGAATTAACAATTTTCGGGCGGAATGTTCTGTATATAAGGCACGGCCTCTTAAATAACTAATTCAAGTGAAATTACAGTTAAATTATATTTAAAATTATTTATAGACGATATGAATCGTGAATAAATAGTGTATTTAATTAAAAATATTAATAATTATAATGATTAGTCCAAATATTTAGAAATTATTCTACAAATATAAGGCTTTATATGGTTTAAGGCACTCATGTGTTTAGCCAATCAAAGGGACAAACCCTTTAAATAGTTACTTTTACTTTCTCTATCGCATAATCTATAGTTTAAAATTATAATTTTAAATTATATAATGATATAAATGTGTTAAAATGTGTGTAAAAAGTATTAAAAATTATACAAATAAATTATTGAATCACAAAATATAGTGACTCTTTGTATGTCTGTCTATAAATGGAAATTCATTTATGGGTTTCCTCTTGAAATCTAAGCATTTCTTTAATGTTTTTTATTTATTTTATGAGAAAAGCTGAGGAAAAAGGCGTTTTGAGTAGATTTGCATTTAGTTTAATGAAACGCCTAAATGAGTAAAATCTTTATATAATTATATATATTATATTTTACACGAAAAGACTTCGATCTTTATATATATGTAGAAAATAAATATTAGTCTTAATTAAAATGAATATTTCAAAACTATTATCGTTTCAATTGTAATCGGAATTAATGTGTAAATAAACACATTATAATTAATATTATTATAATTATTATATAAGGGAAGACAACTAGCATTTTGTTGCTATTAATCGTATTATTAAAAAATATCAAAGGAATGGATGAAAAACATAAGACAATGGATTAAACATAAACATTAAATTATATATTCATTATAATCGTTATATAATATCGACAATAATATGGTTTTGTGTACTCATTGCTCAGTTAAATCAATATCACTATTCATATTAATTAATATTATAATTAAGTTTTTTTTAATAAAAAAATGAGAAAATGATTTGTCATATAATATATTTATAATATAAAATACAGATTCAAATTAATATATAATTAAAAATAAATAATTTTTCATTTAATACAAAAAATATTTTCTAAAGAACTGAATAGTTCTTCAATAATAGTTTATAAATTGTTTTTTAATAACAAATGAAGACATGTTTTGCACATAATATCAACTATTGTTCACTTTCTTATCACTTTTCCTATACTTAATAAATAATTAACAAATAGTTTTTCTGTTTCTTATCATATGCTAAACAATTTGATACTCTTTTTACATAACAAACAAATTCATTGTCCAGTTATTAACAGTGTCTTTGATTCTCGATTTCATTGCTTTATGAATACAATCGATTGCATGCGAGGAGAGAGAAAGAGAGAGGAAATGGACAAAAATGTCTATTCAATTAAATGATTGTCTATAATGAGTGGCAATCAAGCCATGAACAGTTCAATATACCGGTTCCCAATGTTCTGGCGATTCTTCTCTTGTATTGCACGCTCGGCGTCGGCCCGGGAGGGGAACGTCACCACTCCCTCACCATTTGGTCGCCCGTCACCGTTGCGACCGATTTGGATGCAATCAGTCGTCAACTATTAATTCATAAAGAGATAATAGATATTAGTTTTTCGGTTCAAAACAATTGTATGGCATTTTAGTTATGGTTACTCTAAACTGGCATTCAATATAATTTTTTAATCTAAACTATTGTATTCATTATAAATTTCGCTATTTTTATCATAATGTAGGAAAAATTAAGAAAATTTAAGAAACAGATTAGCTTTCAATCATTAAACTATAGAAACAAAAGAGCATTATATATATGAAGAGAGGGTTTACATATAATAAGTGTTGTGAACGAGACATGTGTGCAGAAAAAAAGTTAAAGCGAAGAGCATTTCCAATAAACTCTTGAGATGTGATAAAAGGCATACATTAGACATGAAAATAGATAAGAGGTGTAAATGTCGAGACGAGACGAGAAATGCAAGCGTTTGTAAATGAATTGCCAATAAATTGAGAGCAAAGCCAAACCCCAAAACCCCCACAACTCATACAAAAAAGTGTTAATAATTGAAATGAAATGTTAAGACCCCTAACCTCCCAACCAGTAAAGAAGTTAAACACATCTTTAAGTTGGACAGAATAAGGCAATCCTCTCATGTTTACCATAGTTGGTCCCGAATGGGCGTAGTATGTGGTCGGAGAGACTGGTGGTGAAGGGTATGGCCAATAGATTAGATTAAATGGATTGGGATAACCAAATGAAGCCGGAAGTCGGGCCGGAGCTAATGGCGACGACGCTGTCGACACCGCTGTTGGCAACACTTGAGATGTTTGCACGGAATAGGGATAAGCGCCGTAATGTGGCGGTGGCAGTAATGTACCCCCTGTTTGGACAATGCAATGGTTATATCGATTCAATAGCTCATAATCAGGTGACAAACCTGGAGAGAGGAGTTGTCTTTGTACAGGAATACCGCCCGTCAGCACCAGATTCATGTCGTCCACAGAGCACTGGAATACCTCAATATATCTCTGTTTTTTACCGAATATCATATATCGGTGGTGTCTTTGTTGGGCGGCCAACAGAGCCGACTGTTCCGAATCCATTTGAATAAATGCTTCGCCCGATGGCTGACCCTATTGTCAGAAGTGATTTAATATTGGAGAAACTGATCGCATGTACAGTAAATAGAAATACCTGAGCGTTATACACCATATGGACGCCTTGGAAGACAATATTCTTCGCATGTTCGCCTAAGAACTCCAGTATCTGCTCGACCTGTGCCTCATATGGTAGACCCCGGAGTCGGATACAGTCCTTACGAGAACCGGACGGTAATAGTTGTTGAGGTATGAGTGGGACGTGCGGTAGACTCGCTATTAAGGGTAGTTGGGGTTCAAAAGTTCTCGGATCCATACTTCGGTTGAGGACCTGTTTTATGGCAATTCAAACAACACTTTTTGTTATTCAAAGAGACGAACAAAGAATCGTGTATTCAATGCAATCGAAACACAGTTGTATTCATTGGAAAAATAGGTTCAGTATTTTGTAAACGTTAGAAAAGTTAATGAACTGATAGGAAGAGAAAATTCTAGTGGAAACTCATGAACTTTCACTTTTAGGACACATATGTGTTGAGATTCACAAACCGACACATATTAAGACATACATTGATTCAGCAAATACTAGTCTCTCCTCCGCAATAAATATATTTCTCTGTTTTTCTAAAAAAGACTTTGTTTTTAAGTTTTTTACTCAATTTCATGGCTTTTACATTGAATTCATTTGATATTTAGGTGAGTCTAATGTATTATACATTCATAGCATACAATTATTGTATTCACAATTCAAATGTATATATCCCTGAGATGTGCCGGTGCTGTGCGAATGCCTGAACCACCTGCTAAACCAACTCTCATACCATACCTGATCACAGGTGTTATCGTATAACTAAAGCTAATTTTTTACTTCAATTGCATTAATAGAGCACACATTTGCAACAATGTTCTCAAATGTGGTCTATTTTAATGGCAAATGTTATAAATGGTAGTCTCATCTCTGCATCTTTTAATAATGTACTTTCATTTTTTAGTACATTTGACAAAATGTTAATTATTTTCAAATTACTAACATTTCTTTTAATAAACAATTCTGGACTCAATAATAGATTTTACATAACATTAAAAATACATTTAAATTTATAAACAATTTGTATGACTTTTAGAAATACTAGATATTGAGCGATACATTGAGTTTACTGTAAGAAAGAAATACAATAATAAGTCTTTTGTGTGAGACTCAGGTATCTCTGGATATGGTTTGAAGATTTGCAACAATAAAAATATATATAAAAGAAGAATTTTCCAAAGTTTTATTGTAGTCTAGAGTTAGGAATAGAAGTCAATGAAATCATTTGTAAAGCGTGTGTTTGTTAGAAAACTATGTTTTTTCATGAATCAATAAAAGTGTCATAATTTTTGTCAAAATTAGATATACTGTACAGTAAAATAGCAGACAATGAATAAGAAACTCAAAATGAGAGATTGAGACACAGACAAAAAGTGGGAACAAGTGCTTACCTGTTGTACTTCAGCGGTGGTACTCCTGAAGAGCTCTATATATCGGGCTCCGATCACTTCCCGATGCTTTTGCAGCGCTTTTACGGCCAACTCTTCGGTCTCGAAGAGTACGAACGCATCGCCGGTGGCTCTGCCGTCGGATTTGCGTACAAATAGTACCCCATCTTCGCTATGCATTACTTCACAACTATTGTCTCCATTTGAGAAGAATTCAATCTATTTATCGCATAAAACAATAAAGTTTTCTTAATTAAAATAAATCGATAGCTTTTAAAAGCTATGCTCTAAGAGAGTGAGAGAGACTAATACTGACCACTTGTTGAGCGGTGCAATCGTATGGCAATCCTCTCATCCTAACAATCACTTGACCGCCTCTGGAGAGGAAAGCCTGCGCTTCGTTGTTATTGCCTGTGAAATAGAGATGAGGCTTAACTTGTGGTTCACTAAACGTATTCTCTAATTGCATTTTTGCACAATAATTGATTAAACGGTAATTCAAATTCTGATTATTATTAACACACGGATTATAAAAGTGATAGAAATTCATAGTGTTATTAGGCGTCGGAACAAAGTTTGCCACAAATGGTGCGCTCATTAGAGTCTGATTTATGGGTTGATAAACAGTTTGGCTCATTAGACCGACACGAGTGCAGGACATCACACACTTCGGGAGGATATGCTTTAATCACACTTTCATTTGATTCAAACACAAGTGAATAAATGTTTTTTTATTCGTTTATCAAAAAAAACTAATTAACAAGAATAGAGAGAATCGTTTGAATGAAAGCAGAAATACTACTAATAATAAGGGTTTTGAAATTCAAATGTGTGGTACTTTTTTCATTGCATTTCTATCTAATATTATCAATGAATGCGCAGAAATACACTTAAAAGGAGAGCCAATATTGCCATTACTCGACGTAAGTGATAATTATTGAGATATCATCGACCACTGTATGAATGTATATATTAATATTGGTATCACTTTTCCATTAGACACCTACTTATGAGTACCTAAACCTAACCCAAGGCCTAGTTCTTTGGTAGCCAACAACAGACACACACTCTCACCACACGATTGGTAAACCAACTAAACCTCATGTGCTCTTCACGAACCACACTCTCGTTTAAGTTTAAATATGATAACGAATTAAACGTTCAAAATCAACGTTATATACAAATTTATCATATGTTTTGGCAAACTATCAATTTAGAAGTTATTTTCATTATTAATTTTATTATTACTATTCTATTTGAAAAAATTATCACATTTTTGCAACAAAAAAGTTATATTAATATCTTATAATGTAATTACTTTTAACTAAACTGATATATACCGAGAGAGAGAGAGAGAGAGAGAGAGAGAGAGAGAGAGATCCCAATGTCTGACACTTTTAATTCGAATTATTAATTATAAAAAACTTTATAACACAAGTGTTTTTCATTTCGCTTCTCTCCTTTATGTGCTCTCTTCACTATAAAACACTATTTTAATATCGAAACGCTTAATAAAAACACATTTTCATAACTGATTTCGTATCCAGACTTTAAATTGACTCAATTAATGCATATTTGGCGCAAAAAAACTAAATAAAATTCAAAAAAGGTTTAAATCGTAAGCAATTATGCGAAACAAGACATTAACTCATTAAATATTCTGACTTTGAAGAAAATGTTGATTTTCATCAATTATAGCATATTTTGGCGATTAATTTTCAAATCTGATATTTAGTTAACATTTTTGCTACACTTTGGCAAAAATGCTAATATAGTGACGACAAGTACAGTATAACAAACCTCCGGCAACATTGACAAAGTCCTCGCCGTTGGCGCGATAGACCTCAATATATCTCTGGCCGATGTGGTGCTTATGCCTCTTGAGTGCCATATCCCTGTGCTCTTGGTTTATGAATCTAACCAACGCCTCACCATTTCTGCGTCCCTGAGGGCTCAGACATAACGCAACGCCGCCTCTGAAAAACACAACATTTATTTCAATTAACTCTTCCTTCTCTTTAATTAGTCATTCATTTACTGTTTTATAAACATTTTATTGTTGTTTTCTCTTCTCTGAGACATAATTTCACGTATTTCTCAATTATTACTATAATTACATGTAAAGTACACTACAAGACAAGAAATATTGTATTTTTCCAAAACTGATAGTTAAAGGAAAAGACAAGAAATAATCAACTTTTTTGATTTACTGTATGACAACAGAAAGCACACAATGTATATGTGCTGTACATGTATTGAATCAATCAAAGGATTTAGTGGTCACGAGAAGAACACATGAGTTGACCCAAAGCTAAGACATTATACACATATACTGTCAGTCAGTCCTGAGATCGCATCCAATAAATACAAAGTTAGGTTCGCAAAGAGGATAAGATATTAAACGCATTACTGGTATGTATTTTCTCAGATATATCACATATTTTCAAAATAAACATTTAATGTTTACTTGAATTGAGTTCTTTTCCCGAAAAAAGTTATTATAAATTATAATAAACGAAAAGCTATTCCATAATATAAATGCTAAATAAGAGAGTTTTGCTTTGAATAGTAATTTTCGTGTAATTTTATTTATTGTTAAAATATCCGCAAATTCTTTAGTATTAATAGTTTTGTTTAATATAACTACAGAAGAAGTGTACAAAAGAAGTATTTCCTAAGTTTCAGTATTCAAAGTGTTTTAAAAGTAATAAATAAAAACAAAAAAATGTCTTCTTTATAAAAATGTAAATTAAATTTCAATTAAAATTAAGATTCAATCATCAAATAAGTTAATATAGAAATACTTAAATTCAATGATTAGTGTAATGATTGTCATAATTAATGTTATTTTTATTTCGGACTAATTTAAGAGATCATTCATTTTGTAATCAAGTATTTTTTGGACACAAAACTCGCGGAAGACTCAAAATATTGCGAGAAAGAGAAGAAGACTAGTGTGTAATGAAGTGAAGGGCCGGTAATGAAAGCCATTATAACTCAAATCACGTTTTCATAGAAAAGTTAAAAAGAAGAAAATCAATGTCTTTAATGTTCGCTTAATTTCAAAGTTATCTCTTCTGACTAATAATTTCTGAGACACTGCTTATAAACACACTTAAACTTCAGTACAATTTATTTTATTTTTGCTGTAAATTAGAAAAAATTCATAAAAAGAATGCGAAGATGAGTCTCATTATAAGTTTATACACTGAAAATGTTATGTAACTTATAATATATATATTATATATCTTTTATCTACTGGTGCTTCAAATACTGAAGCAAATTAAACTCAGGGAGTAATCAAACTCATTATAATTATGTTTGGTATCAATTATAGCTATGATATGAAAAACTTTCTAAAATACAGTATTTATTGTACATTTATTATATGGATATTTATTACTCTGTTTGATGGCATTCGAGTGCAACCGATAATCACATCAACAGGTATTGCAGAAGAGAGTAGGGTTTGAACCGAAACCACATTAAATGGGAGACAAAAATGGATATAATCCACAACTTGTGTGAAGTGGAGAGAGAGAGAGAGAGAGAGAGAGAGAGTCGCAGTATCTTCGCTATACTATACCCTTGAACTGAGAGAGAATGGGAGAGAAAGTCAAACTATCATTACTTGAGAAGCGATAAGAAACTACTTTCAGCCAAAGTAAAAAAAGTTTTACTCAAATATCAAACAGAAATTGGTTTTAATCAAAGTTTCAAATATAAGCTGACATAACAACCGACACTACAGTACACACACTGATAATCAATTGATCAAAAACTATAATATTAATCACTTTTTTCTGTTCTCTTTCTATTAAATAATATTTAATACCCGCTTATATATCACAGACACTGCACTGTATTCTTGCTATAATATTATATAAATACTATTTATACTATAAATAGGCAATAATTTGATATAATTTATAAATATTGCATAATATAAAAGATTTAAGTGATTTTAAAAACTAAAACAAAAATTAGTTTCAAATTAATTAAATTATAATAATTGATAGATTGTGTATACATTTAAATCTCTCACTCATTTAAAATTAACTGACATTAAGTAACAAAGTATTGCTAATAAATATATTTGTTGATAAGAGTTAACGTAATCTTCTTTAAACAATAACTGATATAAAATTAATTTTCTGTTTTCACAAGAGTTATAATTCTAAAGCATATCATAAAAAGTATTTATATCTAGATAATAAATATTACATAATTTTGATTAGGATTTTATAAATAATTCAAAACATAATATATTCTTACGTTTAAAAATACTTATGAATTAATTGAAAACGAGTGGAAAAGTGAACAAAATTTTCTTTTTTAGAGATAATCTAAAAGTTGGTGGAAAATTGGATCACTTTATCACATATAAAGTCAATACACATTAAAGTACACTTCAAAGAGAGATAGTTATATATATTAAACTGAATTGAAAACGAGAAAAAATATTGTGTTTTAGAGATTAACAGATGTAATGAATGCCGGTTTGGCGTCAACTAATTGGGAACAATATCAGTGGACCCGAAGGGCCAATCATTCACACACCGCTGCCTTTTATTCCCCGCTAAATGTGTTTCATTTCCATCTGTTTTGACAAATACTATACTAGAATGTAATACACAATGTTTTCTATCAATCATATGGTAAAACAATAAGTCTTCAATTTTCAATACAATTTTTACAATAAATATTAATTTCAATCTTCCGTTAATTAAACAAAATTAATATATCTATAAAACTACTAAAACAATAAATAGCAAAATACCACAATTATTAATTATGACATATCAACATGATCAATACAAGTAGTATTTGGATTATTTGTATTAATATTTGTTTTGTAGAAAATTGCATTGCATAGTTTAATAAAATTATTATTTTAGATAACAATTTTTAAATGAATATAGTTTGATTTAAAATTATATTTAAAGTAACAAAATTCTAAAGTGTCACTAAACTTTTATTAAACATATTGGTGATTTTTAATTCACAAATTCAATATTTGTTATTTAATTAGATTCTTCTAATAAACAAAAATGTCCAAGTGCATGCATAAGTTATAATAGACCGTCGGTCACAAAAGTTATAATCAATCATTAAATATATATTTATAGACAAACATATCCTTTAATAATACAAATGCGAAGAAACGTTCAGAAAGTGAAAGGAGTCTAAGAATTGGCATTTTTTGTATACTTTTATTGTTTGTAACTCTTTTTTGAGACAATAGACGGATAAGAAGAAGAAAATGCATTCCTTTCACAGCATGTGTCTGAAGGATAACACAATACAAACCGCAGACATATCTTAAATCTATTGTTAACTTTTAATTCATTAGTTTATAAATCTGTTTAAAAAAGTAATTTCATTTCCAAAAACACTCCATAAACTAAAACAAAAATATTTATTATAACAAACAAATATTTATCAACAAAAAAGTAAACTAAAGTAAAGTAAATGAATATACGATACACTGAATTAACAAATATTAATAAATCAATGACAAGGAGTTTCTAATAACGCTGAGAACAAATAAAATATGTGTTTAAAAGTCGTTAAATAATACGTTAAACAATACCCTCTCGTAATTTACTATACAGTGTATACACTAATGCCATAAATCGTATTTCACGGATCATATTCTGTCTGAACACCAACTGCTTTATGGCTAACAAACACTCAAAATACGAGTAAAATAATAGGAAACACATTAAATAAATTAATTTTAAAATTGTTGTAAAATAAAGAGATCCGAGAGATGATGGAAATTATGACATCGTTTTTGACTATTTTTATGTCTTCATTAAAATGTTTGCAAAATTTATATTAAATCTAAAATTAGATTTAACTTCAGATTACGTTTACATTTGTTATGCATTTGTAATTGAATTTATAAGAGTTGTTTAAAATTATGTTACGTTTAATATTTATTATACTTTTTGCCCAAAAATGTATTAAATTTAACTCAAAGTTCGTTGAATTGTGAGTTTTTCAACGAAAATAATTGCAATTTAATTATAATTTTGTAAATTTATAAATATATTTAAGTATTTGTCGTTAAGAAGTTGAGATTATTATATTAATTCAATAAAGTTTTTTCCATATAATTATATTAATTGCACTTTTAAAAAGTTAAAATATTAAAATCTTTTACATTTAATTATTTCTCAAATTACATGCAATCATTAAATAGTATATAAAAAACTAAATCGAGTGTAAATCCAAATATTTTCCATAACATAAGATTTAATCACAACTCAAAAAATTTTAAGTGAATTCAAAAAATATTTTTCTTCCAAAAAACAACTTTTTGTGATCAAAAAGAATGATAAAAATGGTTCACAAAAAATAAGTTTAATTCATTAAGTCTTTGATTTTTAATTTCTATAATAAATTTTCGTTTGAAATTCAATTCAAATGAATATTTTTCTCCCTTTTTATTTGGCAAATAGTTTTTTAAATACCTTAACAAACGGTGAGTGAAATTAATATTTAAAAAAACGAATAGAGGTATTGAAAAATCAAAATTAAAAAACGAAAAAAGTGACAAAAATATCGTAATTTGAATACATTTGCCATTAATTAGAATTACGGGATGTTTTCCCAGCATTTTTTGCCCAAAAATACAGAGAGAAAATACATTAATTAAATGCTCACTCAATGTATTTATATCAGAGAGAGATTTGAGACATTTTAATACTTTGGGAAAATTTATTGAAATAAAAAGTATCTAAAATTTAAGCGAAGGAAAGCCTTAATTAAAAATCAATAAAACTTAATAAATAGTGATTTGTATTATAATAATAATTAGTGATCAAGAATTTTGAGAGTCGAGTCGACTCTTCATTAATTGTAATCTCTTTTTATGTGTAAATTGTAGAGAAGAAGGAGAAGGGAATGCGACCTCCGGTGCCCTTTGGCTCCGGGGCTCTCGTTTTTGTGCACAACTAAAGGATTTATTTAATAATTTATTTATTATAGAAATATGTTTTTTAGAACTAAAATAATAATAATAAAAAAGTTGCATTGGCTTTGATTTATTGAAATTTAAATAATTATCGCAATAA